GCTATAATCTCCCACGAGAAAGACACGGGAAGAGCAACTCCGTGTCTTCCCGGGCCGGGGCTTCTCCGTTTCTCAATGATTCAAGGACACAACTGCATCGCTGAAGAGCTCTCGCGCGCTCTCGGACTCGCCTAAATATTTACTTCCGAGACGCTAAGTTAAATTCCACGACGTCCGTCGCGAGCGACGGCGGAAATTGTTCTTGACGAACTCTCGCAGCTAACTCCTTCCCGACAAAGCTGGAGAACACCTCCGTTCGCCCGTCCGTCCGATGTCTAAGCCCTCGAGAGAACGGCTGCTATTCGTGTACTCGCTCACGTCCCCAAACATATCGTTGTTTTAATCTTAGATGCGCTTCTACATTTTCGTCCACGCGCGCGCGAGACCACCGCTCGATACTGCGTTTTGATCCCGCCGTATGAGCGTCGCGCGCTCACACGACCCACGCCGTCAGCTCTCGTCGAGCCTCAACCTGAACTCACTCGCGTCCCGATCGATGATTATTCGCCCAACTCGGAATCAACAGAAAGACGCACGTCTTCGCGTGCGGTGTGAACGCGTGAAGCCGAGGCTGGCCTCGCGGAAATACTCGCGAGTAGGGATGCAACGATTTCTCAAAATATCGATAACGATATTAGCGATAATTTTGAAAAATATCGATGTTTATATAAAAAAATATATACATACAGGGGTATGCATATAAAGAGTATGCACGAGAAATGTGAAAAGATCTTTAAAAAATTTTTTTATCTTCATATAATTTATTGTCGTATTCTTATTAGAAAGTATATAATAAACCGCCGTCACATTTGCCGGAGATCACTACATACATGGAGCGGGAGATCTATTACGGTTCAACGATTGAGGTGGAAATTATAAAAGTGAGCGAATTTACTAGACATCGAGCGATCACATGATATATATTCTAGTGAATTCACTCACTCTTGTCATTTTCATCTCGGTCGTAGAACCGTAATAGACCCCCAGAGCTATAACTGAAAAATACGAAAATCAATAAAATTCATATCGATATGTCGATTTTATCGACTTATGCGTTGCGTCCCTACTCGCGAGGCCGCGAGACTCATGAAACTTGTACAGTCGTGGTCAGAAAGGTTGTCAGGTTTTTTATAGTGAGTTTCGGAATTCGTATTCTGTCTTGACGAGAATGAAAGCTTCTGCTCTGACACGCCTGCGCAGGTCATCGATTGAAGAATAGAGAAAATATGTCATTTAAGAAAATATATCAACAATAAATTTGACACTTAAAAAGAGGCTCGGGCCTCTTCAATATTGTCGCGAATATGACGGGAAATAAGAAGAATATAAGCAAAGTATGGTAAGAAATTTTTAATCTTTGTTAATATGTGATTTCTCTATTCTTCAATCGATGACTGCGCAGGCGTGTCAGAGCGTGAGAGCGGAAACTCTCATTCTCGTCAAGACGGAATACGTTCCGAAACTCACTATAAAAGACCCGACAGCCTTTCTGTCCACGACTGTACGCTTCGGCGACCGTCGCGAAAACAGTGCCGCGAAGCACCGTTACAAAACATGTCTAAGCGCTAAACGCGGCGTATGGAGGACACGAACCTGGCTGACCTCGCGAGCCGCGACACGCCGAGCGTCCGCAGGCTCTAATTTGGCCAAGTAGCTGAGCGCGTATAACGACTCGCCGCGCGGAGCAGCCCGAAAACGTCCTCAGGAGCCGGTGGCACGCGGGGCTGATATAGTGTCGGTCCGTACACGGCTGCGAGATAATTCAACACAGATAACGTCCGCGAAAAATTTAAGGCCGCGCTAAATTAAGGGGAGAGCCCGCCCGCGCCGCGTTGCCCTCGGGTTAGCGCGACTCCACAAACCACCGGCACCGAAACTCGTGCATGTCTACCGCGTGACGCATCAAGCCATTCAATTATAGCCGCGCGAAATATACGCGCTTCCGCGGTGCCGAGAGGACGGTGATAATGAAGAGGCATAATTACGCGACCGCCGGATCCGCGCCCGACGGATACGTCGCGTGGACGCTTTGGACGAACCATAATTTGCTGCGATACTCGAGATAGATCGATCGATAGTCGAGCGAAGAGATTTGGAGGGGAGAGGCCTTCTTCATCAGCCTCAGGATGACCTCCAAAGGTCCAAGAAGTAGGAATGTGTGTTAAAGAAGTAAGAATGAAAATGAAAAGGAAATATGTGAGAGAGAGAGAGAGAGAGTTAGAGTTAGAGTTAGAGTTATTTGTTTTCACTCCGGGATTGAAAACCCATAGAGATTGTACAGTAGTTACAAACATAATCTTGAGGTTCTTGCCTTAGAAATAAAGAAATGCAGAAAATATAGAAAGACAAAGTAAGATGCAGAAAATAAGGAGAAACAAAATTACCGAAGAATAAACGTGTCTGCGAGTTATGCATATGGTTGTCACGAAAGAGAGAGAGAGAGAGAGAGAGAGAGAGAGAGAGAGAAAGAGAGAAACAGAGGGAGAGAAACGAGAGTAGAACAAAAAGAACAAGACAACATGACGAGGAGACGTGCAGGAAAAGAAGAGACTCAGCGGGAGAAGTTGGGACGCGGTCGGGATGTGAAACCGAGAATGACGAGCCGGTGCGGGGGAGAATTCCGCGTGAGAATGAAACGCGCTCCACACGCGCTTAAATCATGATCCCGATTCCGTCCCGGCGAATCCACGTGGCGACGAGTATATCGAGTTACGCGCGGAATCCGGAGCCCCGGATTTCGCGGCGACGAGCAGCGAAAACCGACCGGAGTTTCCACGTAATTTCGCGCGGATGTATCTTTTATTTCGGAGCGTGGTTTGCGCGCGTACGCCGCGCAATTTGATTCTCATCACCGTCATCGTCGTCGTCGTCGTCGTCGTCGTCGTCATCGTCGTCGTCGTGGAGTCGAGCGACCTCCGACCTCCCGCGTTGCTATTTCGCCGTGCCGGCACGCGGCGAGTCGCTTGACGGCGCGTCGCCGAGCTTGCCTGACGTGAAACGCGCGTTTCATACAGTCGTCGTCTCGCTGAAACGCCCGCAAATCCCACGATAGCATGACCATGTCCGCGGTAAGTCGCTCGATGCGCGGTATCGATATGCCAAATTATTGACTCCCTGCGACGACGCGTGGGCGCGCCGGATAATTCCGCGGCTGGCAGTCGATGGCTTTCGCGGAAACGGCGCGTGCGCGCGCGCGACGTGAAAAATCAGATGAGATCGCGACGCGGATTGGAGGCGGGCGCGTTTTCTCTCGTCGATGAGATCTCTCGCCGGTGCAACGGCACGGCACGGCACGGCACGACGTTTACGGCGTTTACGGCGTATCGTTGGCGCGTCGCTGCGTTTCTCGCGCAGAACGGAGAAAAGTGTATCGGGCGCGAGCGAAACGAGAAAGCCGGCGAGGGGAAATGCTCGCGATCGGGCGCGTTTGTATTTCATACTAGACACTTTACATACTCATGCAAAATGCAGCTCCGAATGCAGCGCGCTTTATTAGCCCGACGTGCATATGTCCCGTATGCACAATAATTGACCATAACTTATTCATGCGGGCGATGTTGACAAGACTCGCGCGCGCGCGCGCGCGCGCGAGCGTGCTCGATGATAATAATTTCACGGGCGCGTTTGCTGCTCGCGGCCGAAGATGATCGGCCGATGAATATTCACGAGAGCTCTCTCTCGCGCGACCAGCTCGCGGAGTTATCTGAACGGCCGAGAGAGAACGGCGATTCGGCCGGCGCGGCGGTTTATTTTTCCGGCCGCTCGCTATTCTCCTCCGCCGATCCGTTCGACTGGCAGTCGTAGGCGACAGCGATGGGCGAGGACGAGGACAGGGGGGACATTATCGCGATTAATCAAACGGCGTATCGTATCGACCGAAACGCGCGTGAGGACTAGGACGAACGCGACGGTGCGTCGTCGTCGTCGTCGTCGTCGTCGTCGTCGCACGCGCGCGTTTTCCTCCGCTCAATTGTCGCTCGCGCGATTATCTTCTCGCTGGCGGCTCGCGACGATCGGTTGGCGAACGTGTGGTGCCATCCGTTATCAAACGATAGAAATGTCTCTTCCTCTTTCTCTCTCTAGCTCCCTCTCTCCCTCTCTCTCTCTCCCTCTCTCTCTCTCTCTCTCTCTCTCTCTCTCTCTCTCTCCCTTTCTCTCGTGCGCTCCCGATATTTTTTCATCGCGACACACGACATTGTTCCCGAGCGGCGCCGGCACATTACCTGCGCCAGGTGCGAGGACGACGATGCCGGCGACAACCGACGCTGCGAAACGAGAGCGAACGTTTTATCGGGAGCACACGACTCGCCGATGACGTTCACCTAGTTCCGCGCGGCGCATGCGACAGCTCCGAGAATGGCCGCGTAAATGCAACGAGGAGGACGCACGAGAGCGAGCACGCGACCTGCCGGCTCGCTTCGGTTTCGATCGCTCGGAACGTCGCAGCCGGGGTCGCAGCCGCTGCGTGTGTGTGTGTGTGTGTGTGTGTGTGTGTGTGTGTCTACGATCTTCCTCGACAACTGGATCGGCTTTTTCGCGAAATGAAGATTCACTTCCTCCGCGAGGCTACGTCAAGTTCAATCGACGTGCTCTAATTCCCCGGCACGGCCTCGTGCCTCGGGGAATAGAATATACAGAATCGACAGAGCGGCGATATCTTGATTGATGAACAGCTCGTAAAAAATTCAGATCCTCTTTCGATACGCAGGGAGCGCTGCGAGGAGGAGGATCGCGGGAAGATTACCGGAGAGTCTTCTGGGAGCGAGAGCTTTCCCGCACGGCGGAAATCGGCGAATCGTGCATGCGCCGTTCTCCAGCTTCGGGAAGGAGCTTCTCTACGCGCGGCAGTTTCTCAGCGTCGCCAAGTTGCTCGCTTCGTCCCGCGAGTCGAGGGAGACGGATGACGAGGCGGAGGAGGCGGAGGAGGAGGAGGAGGAGGAGGAGGAGGAGGAGTTCGCAAGTGCAGGTAGATGCGAGCGGTATGCATTCCCGAGACTTACTCTCCTCCAGAAGCGACTCCATGGCGGAATCCTGGGCACTGGTCCAACTGGAGTCGAGTCGACCTCGGCAATTTCCACGACGACGACGGCTCGCGAATGCTGCGCTCTGGTCCGCCGCCAAGAGATCTTGCGCTGTGGCCGCTGATCGACGTGTTGTTCATCGGCATCCGTCGCGGGACTTGTCGCGCGATTTATCGCGCCGTTTCGGGGAAACGCCTAGCTCGCGCGGCTCGTGAAATTCCCCTCGGCGGGAGCGCGCGCCGACGAATCAGCCGGAGCCGGGGGCCTCCTAACGTCGCGGTCAGGTCAAAGTGCGCGGAGGGAAAGTACTCCGCCCGGTAGCTGCGAATCTGCCGCGCGTGAGCACGTTACGCACGTACGCACGTACGCACGTACGCGGTAACGCCGGCTTCTCTCCTATCGTAGACAGCGGATAACGATTCGTCCCGGCGGATCGAAGGCGGAATACATTATCCGCGTTAATGCGCTCGCGTTAAAGTTGCCGGAGTCAGCCGAGCTCGCGAGGGTGCTTTCGCATCTCGTCGCGTGCGCGGCAGCGCGACGGGTAGGTGATTTGACCTCGCGCGCGCTGCAGAGGAAGCGAGAGATAGATAGACAGAGAGAAAAGGAGAGAGAAAGAGAGAGAGAGAGAGAGAGGGGGGGCAGAGAAGCAGAGACAAAGAGAAAGAAAACGTCGAAATGGCGCTCGGCAAAGTCGCTTCGGTGATCCGCTGAGTAATCTCGTCGGGGCCTCGGCCTGCCGGGAAGGACGTCGAGGACGAGGACGTGGAAATTTGAACGGCCGCGTCGAAACCGTGCCAATTGACCTACAGACACCGCGCCAACGTCGAACGGCTCGACCCGCCGGCTTATTCCGGAGGCCCGCTTACGTAAGAGCGGAATTCGCGCACGAGGTAGAGAGCACTCCGCGAGGCCTCGGGCCGAAGCACCACCTCCCGGTGATGGTGGTGGTGGCGGTGGTGGTGGTGGTGGTGGTGGTGGAGGAGCGACGAGCGACGGGCGATCCTGGCGGTGAACGGCGGTTCGAGCGCGACGACGGGCGACGTGACGACGACGGTCGCGCTCGCGAGCGGCACTCCGCGACCGCGAGTTCTCTCGCGGGGATGAATCCTCCTCGCGTTCTCCCGGCGCGCGCGACCCTCGCGCGACAGACCGCGACGGAAGGCGCAGGGTCGCCCAGACTACGGCACGGCGATCCTCTCATCCTTCGTGGGATCCCCGACGCGAGACGTGACGCCGCTCCGGTTTTCCCGTCGCCAGGCAACCGAGTTGCCCCCGCATTCGTGTGCGGCTACTCGCGCGTTATAGCACTACGTTACGTACCGCGTTCCGCCCGGTTATGTCCGTGTGCCTCTCTTTCTCTCTCTCTCTCTCTCTCTCTCTCTCTCTCTCTCTCTCTCATTCTTTCTCACACACACATACACACAGAGACTCACATCGGTTGCCGCGCCATCGATTGCCAGACAGCAGCCGCCCCTGGCCTCGTGGACCACATAAAGCCGAGAATAAAACTCGACTCGTAAAGTCGCTCTCTCTCTCTCTCTCTCGTTTTTTCTCGTTTATTAATCCATCCTTCCCTCACCATCCATTCAGCGGCCGAGTACGATCTCCGACCCGAAGGATGATCTGCGCGACGAAGAGGCGGCTCCTCGCGTCGTCGCGACGACGGTGTGACGGTCTTCGCTCGCGAGATTACTCCATCCCCCATCGTAACGCGACTCGTTAAACGAGCGTTGTACACTTCTTCGACCCTCTCGATTAGGATACGGCGACGTGGAAATTGCTCATTCGTCGCCTTCTCCGCGTTGTCACTTTGAAACTAATCACTCTCCGGCTCCTTTCGCGCGTTCTTCTCCGCTCGTATCTCGTCTCGCACAGCGCATCGTTCACTGACGCGTCCGACGCAAAAACGTCCGGAAACTTTCAAACGGCCGAGAAGGAACGAGAGAAAGAGAGAGAGAGAGAGAGAGAGAGAGAGAGAGAGAGAGAGAGAGAGAGAGCGAGAGAGAGGCAGGGAGGGAGGGAGGGAGGGCTATAAAAAAGGGATATACGCAAGGCGATGCGGTCCCTTCCGCAGCGCGGAATACTCTGCTTTCGCGGGCTCTTTGAGAACTGCAATTTCCACGCTGAGTCGTCAGAGCGGCATTACGGTCAGTGAACAACTGCATTTGCGAATTGTTATCGTTTCATTCCGCGAAAACTTCAACTATTCAACGAGATACTTATATGAGATAAAAGAGAAAATACCGGCGGCTTTTGAAGCCCGCCTTATACTCTATGCATCATCCATCGAGACCACCGGCTGGGTTAGGTTAGGTTTGGTTAAACTCATCCACCGGGCTAATTTCGCGATACGCTTTCCCCAGCGATGCCGCCAATTTCCAAGAGCGCACGCGAGTTCGCTCACGGGAATGTCGTCGCTGTCCAGCCGTTCGCGAGAAAATGCGACGTTGAAAGACCACGCTCGACAGAAGCGGGGTGGGGGGGGGGGGCTTTTTTCCCTCCCTCGAGGAAGATCGGAGGAAGCGCGAGGGCATTAACGCGACGAGAGGGAAATTAACGTGACTGGCAGCATTCACATTCGATCGGACTCTCGTCGTCGTTCGATCGCAAACACCGCGACCGCGCTTGCGAGTGTATCAGCGTTACCGTGTAGTTATGTGTTTTCCGCCCGGCAATGAGGTAAATATCACGAGCGGGCAATAATTGAGTTATCACATTAACCGTATACGTCGGTTATGTATAAACAAATATAATAATCCGCAAAGCGGCGCTCCCTCCGCTCGCGCGCCCCCTCACCCCGCGGCCGCTCCTGCGCCGCTCGATCTGCCGGCGAATTAGCGGTGAATGTGCGCTTTTGTCACGCGATATTTTATTTAATATTTAGCGCGAGCATTCCGTACGTGGCGGCACTCCTCTTCTTTACACTCGTGCATTATTTATACCCGCGATTCCATTGTTTTCGACGCTCTGGATCTGGATCGTTGAAAATCAACAGATATTTAGGCGCGGGGAACAATATTACATCGCTGATCGCAACGCGCAACGAAATAACGGGACAACAATAGAGCGCCGCTTTTCTAGCAACATCGAAATAATTGTTTTATATTCTCTCTCTCTCTCTCTCTCTCTCTCTCTCCCTCTCCCTCTCTCCCTCTCTCTCTCTCTCTCTCTCTCTCTCTCTCTCTCTCCCTCTCTCTCTCTTTCTACCTCCCTCTTTCGTGTCTTGCGCTTATTGTGCCAACGTGGCTCACACATGGCATTTATATGTTCCATATCCATGTCGCGACATATTTAAGCGAAAAGTATCAAGATACTCTCGCCGTGAATGTGTATCTAGCGGGATAAAAACTGATATCGAATATCGATAGGCGTGAACCGCGAGCGATATAATTTATGATGTCATCAGCTAATATTTGATGAACAGTGTATACATCGAGACAGCGGTCTACCATATGATAACGAACGATAAGAAAATATTAGAATACAATTGACCGGCACGGTCGCGCAAAAAATACGCAGGAAGGAAAGGCGATGGAGGATAGGTAGGTAGGAGGATGAGCATCCGGAGGAACGCAACGACATGATTTAGTTAAATGAATTTATAATAAATCCCACAAGATTCATACTGTACATCAATTAAATCAGCCTCGTTAATAAATAAAGTCACGCTTTAATACGAAAAATGGAATGACTGAGATGCACAAAGTGTTTTGTTCTTGCTGTTCTTGTCATCTGTATAATATTACTCCACATAACGCATCTTTTTCTCGCTCGCTCTCCTGCTCGCACTTTCTGTCTCATTAATTACATAGTCTCTAAGTAGCAACACAAAAGAAGTTCGCGAATATCCGATTCAGGTACATCTTCTCGCACACTGTAAAATACTTAGGCGGGCCGCAATATTTTCGAACACTTTTACTTATCAGTTATTCGTATGGAGAGAAAGTGTGGTAATATCTTGTATGTGCGTATGTGTGTGTGTGTGTGTGTTATGTTTGTATGTTTGTATTCGTACGCGTCGAACATTTTTATGCGTCGCGTTTATCACGATGGCTGTGTTCTATGCACGCGCGCTTATACATGTGTATATGTGTGTGTGTGTGTGTGTGTGTGTGTGTGTGTGTGTGTGGTATTATCGTGTGTACATAATGTCTTTGTATTCTTGTACACGTATGTAATGGTGGATCTGCTGTCGAGGAATACGCACGTACATTCATGCTACGTTATAGTCCTTCTGAGTTATAAAAGTACGAAAAAAAAACTATCTCTTCCCATACAATGCGACGAAACGTACTATATATATATATATTTATATATTTATATATGTATATATATAGACGTATATATATATATATATGTATATATATATATATATATATATACCTACACATTGCAAACATATTATCCCGCTGGAAGGAAGCAAGTACATGGTCTAATAATAATAATAATAATAAAATATCTCCTAGATATATATATATGTGTATATGTATATATATATATATATATATATATACACATAAATATATATATACATATATATATCGAATATCCAGCCCGTGTGTCGTCGCCAGTGCTTTTGGACATTCGTTGATCGGATGAGTGAACGTCTTGAAGGGGGATGTCTCGCTCTCGTATCGCTGTCGATTTTCTCACGACCTTTTCTCTCGAACATTTCCTCCTCCCTCCGTTCCTCCTCCCCTCTCTCCCTCTCTCTCTCTCTCTCTCTCTCTCTCTCTCAGTCTCACTTCCATTCCGAACCGACGTCACGCGCCTTTCAGCTTTCCACCGCCTCGACATGCAGCCGAGGAGGTTTGTCTCTGTATTCGCTCCCCGGGTATTGTGTATCGCTGCTGTCGACTCGCTGCGACGGTGATGGTGACGGCGGCAGCGACGCTGGTGGCGGCGGCGGAGGCGGCGGTGGTGGCCGGCGACCCGAGGATATCCCGTAGAGGAAACGTCATCATCGCACAAAGCGCCTCGAGCCCTCTCTCACGACAAGCACGTCGACATACGCAAAGTGTTCCAAAGCGCGCTCGAACGATGAATTATGCTTAACGAATGGCGATTAGAAGAAGCGCAAACAATTCCAACGCGAACCTCGCCGACGGCCGCGGACTCATCGCGGGGGACCCCAGCACTGAAAAATCAATATGCGAGACGGTCTGATAATACAATCTCCCTCTCTATCGCATCTTTCCTCTCCAATTTTTATCCTTCGCCTTCCTCTCTCTCTCTCTCTCTCCCTCTCTCCCTCTCTCCCTCTCTCCCTCTCTCCCCGATCGAGTCGCACACGAGTGCGACAGCAGGAATTCAGATCGCGGCTCAACGACGTCGCTCTGTGAATGGAGCCAACTGTGCGCGGCTGTTTTAATGCAAACGTGCCCCCGTTGAAAGAGCTCGTCGTCGGGGGCCGTCGCCGTCCGGTGTGTCGTTTAGCTCGTCGGGAGAAAAAGAAACCGAGAGAAAAAGCAGGGGGTGCTCTATAAGCAAATCACAAGCCGAGCCGCCGCGCCGGCCGTTCGTCGCGTCTCTAACGCTTTAGCCTCTCAGCCTCTCGAGGCTGAGTCTCGAATTTCGATAAACAACCGAGGAGAATTGCGAACGACGACGACGACGACGACGACGACGACGACGTATTTACGGAGGATATTTACACCGCGCCTCTCCTCGGAGATACCTAACGAGAGACTGCCGAAGGAGCCTCGCTGATCCAGCATCGAGGAAGCGGGAGAGAAAGAGCGATAATGAGGACGAGCGGGGGCTCTTTTAATATACCTTTCACTCCGACCTGGCCGTCCGGCTTCTTCTGGCCGGTCTGGAAATTCGGCGGCGGTTGCAGGTAGTTGATGCCGACGATAGTCGCGGCCGGCTCGTAGTGTATCATCCGCGGCCGGTCCTCCTCGGTGCTGACCTCCGTGCTCTGCCAGTAAATGTCGTATATCGACGCGCTGCAGCGTATCTTGAGCTTGCCGCTCATGAAATGGTCGTGCGTAACCAGAAACTGCAGCCCGATCTGGGAGACCTGCCACTCCGACTCGTTCGTGTCGAGCGGGCTGTACTTGCGGACGTGCGACGTGAGGGGCTGTCGGGCAGAAAGAGAGACACAATGCGTGATGCATGATTGTCGCTTGACTCGCGCGAGCTGCAGCTCCGGCGGGATTTCGCGCGCGTGGGATTAAATCTCGATCGAGGCTCTCGTTAATCGACTCGAAAGCGAGCGATGAGCCGGCGACTGCGTGCTACGGGCGACTGTTATCAAACCAAAGTGAGCTCCCAAGCTGGAGCGCGCGCGAGCGAGAGCGACGCGCATCGAAACGCGAGCGTGTGTATAGTAGTTGGCTCTGCGTTACGAGATCAAATCAATCAAGCGATGCGTCACCACAGAGTAATGATGGAAGACTATTTTTCCGCTGCTTTCTCGCGCGCGTACGCGTGTACGCTGCAGCTGCTGTCGTTGCTAAACATCACCCCCGGTTAGATAAATTCTCAGAAGCGCGGCGATTTTATCATTCTTCGCTCCTTATCTGCTTTTCCAAGAATCGCGCGCGCCCTCGCATCGCGTCTAACACGCGAGACACTTCTTCGCGCGCGAGTTGCGTTAATGTAAGGTGATATTACGGCGGCTATTTTAATATTTATCCAAAGCTGAAGAAACGTCTAATTGTCCGGGAGGCAGAGACAGGATTCCCCGAGAATGTTATCGTTTAAATCAAAGTGCTTTTTAATTAGAGACAGGGAGAAAGGGGGCGAAAGAGAACAGGGGAAAGGGAGGGGGGGTTGGCGCGACGATATATCCAGAGAGATATTAAAATCCTGTCAGACGTTTCAAAATTATTACACCTCTTCACCGCCTGACCGGAGGAGAGCGAAAGCCGCGCGAGGGAAACACGTGGCGCGAGAATATCGCGAGAGGCTAGTCGATGCTGATTCTGTCGGCATCTGTCGAATCTATCGACTTTCCCCACAGTTCGCTCTCTCTCCCTCTCTCTCTCTCGCGAGCGTCGCTCTCGGCGAACTTGAAGCATCTCGAGAAGGAGGAGCACGAAGAGCAGGAAGAGGAACGTATCCCATAAGCTCCCTTGTCTCCAACGTTTGATCAGGGATAATGGATCAAAGCCGAGGTAAACTAAGTATAGAGGTTTCCGATCCTCTCTCTCTCTCTCTCTCTCTCTCCCTCGTGCCCGCTCCCGCTCCCTTTCCCGTCGTGTCCCGTCCCGTCGTCTAACCGCGCGCATTACCATCATTAGCAGTTAGGGCATACCTGTCGATCGTTGATGTACCAAGTGAGATTCGCGGCGGGTTTGCTCCGGCCGGATGTGCAGTTCAAACGCAGCGGATCGTCGACACGGTATTTCCTCTTCAGACCCTGTATCGACGGCATCTGGGAGGGCAATTCTGCAAAGGTAAGAGAAACTCCGCGTACACACGGAGTGTGTGTCTCTCGGCTGTGGTGACACCCGTGCAGCCGGTGTTTTACGACCGGCACCCTCTGCTGCGGCGAGCAGCTCGCCTGATTTTCGATATCGACCTCGCGCGGCCGCTCTGCCGGGCTCCGCGATATGCTCTGCGACGGCCCGAAATCACGCGCGCGTATCGTTTCGCGCGCGCGAACGATACACGGAGGAAATGACGGGGCGAAACTTCCGTGTGACATTTCACGGACAAGACAGGATGCTTCGCCTGCGAAACTTCGTACTTTGCCCGATAAAAATTGCTCGATACTTTCCGTGTCGCCGACACTCTCCGTGTATCTCCCCGCGCAACCGCGTGTCGCGCCCGCGCGCGTCAACGGGTCTCATGACGAGCGCACACGCGAGCGCCGCGAGCGAGAAGAATGCTTTTGCTTTCACCTTCGTGCGTCAATTAGTGCCTGAGTTACGGCCGTTCGAAGTATGCCGGCCGGCTCGTCAAAGTCGGCGCCGCGCGCGCGGTCCTTTGCCGCCGGCGAGCGGCGGAAGCGCGCGTATTACATTGCAGCGCGTCCGCGCTGCGGGCTTCGCACCTCGGCCACTTCCGAGCGCGTGCCGCTGAAGGAGCGCCGCGCAACATTGTCGCGCGAGCCGCGGTCCCCGTCAGAGGGGATTCGCCGCTCGTCGATATCTTCGTCCAGAGAAGTCGTAGCGACGTCGGACAAGGTGCGTTGGAAAGCTCGCGTCGTCGCGCCGTCCGATGAGCGAGCGATCGCTTCCCTCACTCGTGGTTTAATTTTGCGCTCTTTAATTTCGTCGCCGTTGTTCGTTAATTTCGTTAATTTCGAACCGAAGGTAAAAATCGATAGTGTGTGTGTGTGTGTGTGTGCGTCGAAAGCGCGACTTTTGATTCTGCCTCGGAAGGAAACGCGAGCAATCGCACGCGTTGAATGGCCTGACGAAATAATCACCCCGCCTATCGTAGCAGTAAGAGGGAATTGTAATTTAAGTTTGGTGAACTGTTCCACTTCACGTTCTCGTTAGACGCTTCGATTGTGCGCTACATAAATAGTTATGACGGACTTGAGCTCGGTGCTTCAGAATGAATTCAACGCGCGAATGCAGTTGCGGAATTGTCCCAAAGTATCGAAGACGTGCTCCACGAGCGCGGCCCTCGAGGAATCAAATTTCATCCGCGTACCAACGGAAATACCAACGGAAACTATCTTCATCGCGAACGTCTCGGCTACTCGATATCAAACGATTCCATTGATATTGCACGAGCTGTCTGTGGATTACAAAAGTCTTGTTAACACCTTGCTTATCGCTCGCGGATGAAATCGGCATTATTCGACAAGCTTCCGAGCTCGTCGACCCGGCCGAGCGTCCGAACGAACACGGCCGGATATTAAATGAAGATCGATCATTCTCGTCGCCTGATCTCGCATTGCTGATCCGTCCAAACGTCCGTCTGAACGTACGAGAGGAGCCCTCGTCGCGTTTTCGCGTCGGCTATAATTCCAAAATTACCGTCGACACGGAATTCGCTCGACAGTCCTTATACCCATCCGATAATCGTGCGCCAAGTCTGGGACACCAGACTGGCCGCGTGAATGCGCGACCGAACATCGTGGAGTTTGCGTGCAGCCGAGTCGTAATCGGCCAAGGTTTCACCGTAGCCGTCGTTCACCGGAGCCAAGCATAGCCGAAAGTTTCGGCGGCGGTGGCGGCGATGGTCGGTCGATTGTCGCTCGACGAAGCGTCGAACGTGTACGTTCCCTCGCACACGACCTCGTCGACGAAAAAATTCCCTCTTTACGGCGCACGGGGGCTGGGGGGGGGGGACGAGAATTCGCGTTCGCGTGCGCGGCCGTTCCGCTATCGGCGCCTGGCGAATCGCGTCGCACGCACGCACGCACGCACTCACGCACGCAGGTAGTGCTGCCGCCGTTACAAGTCGTGTCACCACCGTACACCTCCTCGCGAAATATTACTTTCCCACTTTTTTTACGGTGGACGTAAATTCGCGCGCTTCGCCGCGCCTTTACGACACGAGCGCGAGCGAATAAAAGTGTCGTTGTTCCTCGCGAGCGCGAGATGCGAGAGAATTGAATAGTCCGTTCTTTCGGGAGATTCGCGTCGCATCCGCGGATACGCGATGTATCTCTCCCGATCCCCCCTTCCCCCTTCCTCCTCCCCCTCGCCCCCGCCCTCCCCCCCCGCCGGGCAACGAGCAAAGTCGGTTACGACGCGCGAGAGACGCGGAGTACAATCAAAAAGGTCGGCTATTTAATTCTCTCTCGAAAGGAGCCCACGCGCGAGCGCGCGCGCGCGCGCGCTCGCTCGCTCGGTCGTGTAATATCAGAATAGATTGCATTATATATTCGAAGAAGCCCCAGGGAGAGACGCGATGTAAACGTTAGATTTATCGGACGTGATATTTTAGCGGTAATTCGAAAACAGCGACGTGCAATTTGTGTCGTTAAATTATTACCCGACTACCCGGCCGATTTTCCGCCAATTTCGAAAAACGAGTGTCGTTCGCTGCGCTTCTTCGCTTTGTTTTTTGCTCGCGCGGGACCATCTGCCCTCCGGCATCGCGTGTCGTCGGTCTTAAATTATTAGCGAGCTCGGAAGTCTCCCGCGACAAACGGAGCGGGAATGCGATTTAAATAGCGCGCTCATTGTTATCTCCCTTATCGCGACTCGATGTTACGGCGGTACGTACATCGTTAGAGCGAGCGGGAGAACGGGCGCGTTAAATCGCTCCGGGTAATAACTCTCTAAACGTGTTTTTACGCAGTCGATGCCGCCAGCCAAAGTTATTAACGCGCGACGCGAGGGCGCCGAGAGCCGTGCTAATGTAAACGGGGAGGGAAAGAGACACACAGAGGACACACACACACACATACACACACACACACATATACATACACACTTACCGACGACGTTCATCGTCGCGTAAACTAAAGCCGTGTGGAAGGAAGGTGCATCGGCTGATACCTCGCAGCTGTACTCGCCCGCCGCCTCCAATTCCAACTTCGTCAGCACGACTTGCGTCGCGTTGCTCTCGGTTTTCTGCGACACAACGGTAATTCGTTACGATATGCTGCATCTCGTCGTCATCGTCGTCGTCGTCGTCGTCGTCGTCGTCGTCCTTGCCGTTGTGATTTACCAAGTCGGGAATTCCCGGGGAAATTCCGCGAGATACATTTCCGCGAGATGAGCCAGCGAGGATCCGAGCACCGAGTGCTCGCATCGTTCAATTTACTAATGACGGTCAATCAAGCGCGAGAGATAGCATCGGCTGGGTATCGGACATCAATCTTCGTTTCCGTCCGAACGCTGCTCTTCCCCCGCGCGGTTCCTCGCGCTTTCGTTGCGTTGAATAGTCGCGCTTTTTATCGGCCTTTCGATTTCGCCGACGAGACGAGACGAGACGAGACGAGACGAGAGCGTTCGCCCGAGCTAAAAGCACCGACGAGATCCTCGCGGCGAGATTCCCCGGCGCAGGAGTCCTCCCCGGAGCTTTCCGCGCTCGCCGAGCGAAAGGTATAACGGTGTAAATGTCCCAGGCAGGACACGAGACGTTGACACGAGATCGCAACACTGACACAACTATCGCGCGGAAGGGCGATAAAACACGCGTGCGAGCGCGGTAATCAAAGCGATCTGTTTGCCGAGCGTGATGGGATCCCGCGTGTCTCGCTACGCAGACGTTTGTCCAACGAGTATCTCGCAATCGCGCGTCCGAAACGCAAATTCTAAACCGGGCTCGGCACTCGCGCGCCCGATTAATGATCGGTACACCGTGAGACTGCGAGAATGGGACAAATGGGTAACACGGTCGAAAATGCCCGGCGAAAGAGGAAATCTAACGAGACGGCAAGAAGAGGCAAAAAAGGGCATGAGAAAAAGGGTGAGAGAGAGAGAGAGAGAGAGAGAGAGACCGCAACGGGGGCAACACGCGCATACACACACGATACGCTCGACGAGGGCCATCAGTTACCCTCGCGCAGGCAGACAGCTCGAATTCAAAAACTTCGATCAGCCGGTTTGTAGGGGCGCCCCCGCGGTACAGCTAGGAACTGTACATTACGGCGCGTTCGGGTGTTATCGTTCCATTCGCAACTTCTCGACCGCAATAAATCCTCGTCCCTCCGCTCCCTCGCTCCGCTCTCCCTCTCTTTCCCTCTTTTTGACACGTTTTTTTTCCCTCTGCCCGCCGTGCCCGCCGGGACGCGGAAGGATCTCGAGATTTCGCCGAGGCCCAAGGGGGACAGAGAGAGAGAGAGAGAGAGAGAGAACCAGGGGGGTCGTAAGTTCGTCAGTCGCAGACGCGGTTGCGACCTAAAGCGACCTCGAGCTGAGGAGAGGTTGCTGTATAGGTGAGTATAGGTGAGTATAGGTGAGTAGGCAGGAGAAAGCGCTCACCTTCACCGTCAGATTTCCGATGGGGAAAGTCTTGACGGCCGGATTCTCGTTCGGGGCATAGCGATAAAACTCTCGACCCCCTTTGTACCACTTGACGGCGTACAGCGGGTCGCCCTCGGTGTCGTACCAACAATTCAGTATCGCCGAGTCATCCTTCTTCACGGCCGTCGGTATCTGGATGCGTACCTCGCGCAGACCCGAGCAGATTCCTGGGGAAGAGAGAAAGGAGACGTCCAGTCGGTTAATTGTATTACATTTTATCGCGCCGTCGCCATCTACCGCCGCCCGTGAACTCCGTGTGTGCGTGCGTGCGCGCGCGCGCGCGCGTGTGTGTGTGTGTGTACACGGGCTGATCGTCGCGTTAAAACGCGATCGCGGAGCCCACCCCAAGCAGACCGACGGGGTTGCCTCGCCGGCTTATCAGAGCGCTCGCGATCTCGGCGGAGTTATTAGTGTATGGCCAGGCAGGAGACGGGCGGGGAGACTCGCGTATATGGATCCGAATCTCGCGATTCGCCTCCGCGTCACGTTCCCTCTCTCTCTCTCCCCCGCGGGGAAAAGAGGAAATGAAAGTCGATGGTGAGTTTCTGCCGTGTCATGTCGTGAGAGGCGGAATATCGCCCGCGATGCATACCTCATCGATTAAGCCCGGCAGACAGTGTGCGCCGTCCCTCCCGAATAGGAGGAAGAGAGCACACACACACACACACACACACACACACACACACACACACACACACACACGGCGGGGCTGCATATCTGGAAGAGCGAGCGCTTAAAGGGGGCCACGTCACGCGCGCATAATATTTTATAGTTATCGATCTCTTAAAGCTCAGCCGATGATCTATTTTAGCCCGTTATCCCGCATGGACCGCTCTTCCGTGACGCAACTTTGCTAAATGCACACCGCACGCGCGCGCGCATCCTCCGATATCTACTGCACCTACGAAAATTATATATCACACATGACGACACACGAGAGCGGAAATTAATAATTTATCTATCGGAGAATCGCTTTCTCTCTCCCTCTCTCTCCCTCTCTCTCTCTCTCTCTCTCTCTCTCTTTCTCTCTCTTTCTGGTTTTCCGCAAAGAACATAGCGCGCGACTCCCGCCGCTCCGCTCGCCCCTGCCGTCGCCGTAATTGCGCCACGCTCGGCGAAAGGGAGGACAGATAAAAAGATACATTACGTTAATTGGAGATTATATTTTCTCAGCCTGTGTTCCATGGACATTGTAAGGAAGCCCTCATCTTTTAATTAGATCAAATGATCCCGACGAGAGAGAGAGAGAGAGAGAGAGAGAGAGAGAGAGAGAGAGAGAGAGAGCGCGTGCGAGAGCGGAGAGCTCGTCGAGACCGCCGGCTTCAACGACGCAGCAGTAACAGCAGCAGCTTCTGCTGCTACATACACGACGTCGTCGTCGTCGTCGTCGTCGTCGTCGACGACGACAACGGCGGAAGCGACACCGGTTATCACAGAGCGACATCGTCATTACGCGGGCTTCCGCGTAATGAAAGCGAGCGCGAGCATAATGCGCGAGCCTGCGAGGAATAATTTCTTATAATAACCCAGTCGCCCCCGCCCCCCTCTCCGCGCTCACTCCTCGTCCGCTCGGCGACGATAACGACGACGACGACGACGACAACGACGACGACGACGACGACGACGACAACGACGACGACGACGACGACGACGGCGACGGCGGCGACGGCGGATTCGAAATTATTCGGCGAATCCCACGGTTGGCCGCCGGAATCCTCTATCGATCGCGAATAGAATCCTTCCCACGTTGTTCCACCCCCGTCCCCGCCGCCCACGGTGCCTCGCAGCGCCGTCATCGCCGCCGTTCGCCGTGCGCGCGAGGGGCCGACCAAATTTTCTCATTCACGAGAAATGGGATCGATCTCACACACGCGAGAAACAGAACTTACGCGTTTTCGAGTCGAATTTCGTCGCTCCCCGAGTGCGCGCTCCCACGAGCACGACTCTCGGGGGAGCGGAGGGGCGGAGGGGGGAGGGAAATTTCCGTACACGCCCGCGCGCGCCGATATATATTCAAACGATCGTTCACCCTTTCGTAGGCAAGGACGGCGGGGGCTGGAAGGCAGATTCGCCTCCATTCTTCGGCTGACTATTTACGTCGCGCCGTTTTGCATAAAGGATTACGTCGCGATAAATCCACAGAGCGTTCCGTTATTTCGCTCTCTCGCCCGGCTGATAAGTAAGAATATCCATCGCCGACGATCGGGCTACCGCCGCCGCCGCCACTAATTTCGCGCTGTAATTTTTCCACGGCCTTGCTCGCGCGCGTCTGTGTCCTCGATGATGGCGCGAGGATCGAGGGGCGCGTCTGCCTGCAAAACTCGCCGATTTCGCTGCGCGGGGCACAACGACGCGCCTCCCGAGGTCGCCGACGTTTAGACACGGCGCGCCGACTACGTGGCGCTGCTCGATCGAGATGAATAACGTCTCCTCCCCGGTGACCTGCTGGAGAACTGCTCTCGCGACTTTCTCGCGACCGAAAGTTTCCCTGTGTAAAAGATTTCACGCGAATATTACAAGTAACAAACGGTAATTTGGACGTTTTCTCATCCGTATTTGCTCGCCGCATCGCCCCTCTACCCTCCTCCTCCTCCTCCTCCTCTTCCTCTTCCTTCTACTTTACTCTCGCCGGCGCTGCTGCTTCGCGAGAGGAGCTTGGCGTTTCTTTCCGCGGAATCGATATAATCCTAGTCCTAGCCAACAGCGTGGGTTGGACGAAAGTTCCGCGGGAGAGTTGTACGGAAATATTGCCCCAACGCATTAAAGGGTGCGACAATCCGCCCGGCGTAATGTCCGCCCGCCGCTTATAGAGGCACTTTGCGGGGCTTACGGGTATTTAGTTACAAAACCGCGAAAGCACTCTCGCCGACGGTCGTTAGCCGTTAATAAAAAGTGGATTCGCAACGACGGACGCGAGACCGATGAAGAAGGTGCTGGAGTGGGCGCGCCGAGCCTGCTCGAGCTCGTCCCAGACGGCCGGTCGTCCGAACGTGCCGTCTCGCCGAAGAAACAGATAAGCCCGCATGAGAACGTAACGAGACGTGTAGGGGTTGCAACAACCCTCGGCGGCGGCGGCGATTAGGACAGCCACGAGACGTTGACATCTCCACGAGTCGCTGACGATCCTCCGCCCCGCCACGCTGCGCCACGCCGCGCCGCCGGCCGGCAGGTTTTGCTGTCTCTCTCATGGGGTGTCCAAAGACTCACGCGGCGAGCGCACGCGAGTCACCTTGAATTTATCTTTACACAGGGCGAGATGACAGCTCTCACCGTCTTGAATATCTCGGGGAAATATACCTTTGAGATGGTGGGAGAAAAATTTATCTCGAGTTACACGATCAGCCGTCGGCTGATTAAACGTTGCAACACCCTCCTTTGACGGGTTTCGTAACGCATCCAATTTCGTGCCCAACGGCGGAGGATTTGTTTCTCAGTAATCTTCTCAACGGACTCATTTTCTCCCATCGGATACCGAACGCGCCGTGAAACTCGTATTGTACAGAAGCGCGCGGGCGTCTTACGGCGGTAACGCTTTGCTTCGATTCTCATCTCATCGGAGGAATCTCTCGATGGCGATACGTCTCGGTAACAAGATATTTAGCCTCACGCTGCGTGTAGTCCCTGCAGAATATTACAGCAAGCAGACTCTGTTGTTCGCATCGACAAATATCTCCTTATCGAGCGATCATCGCTCTGGCAGCCGCACGGCTGCCGTGAAAGGCGCAAAGCAAAACGTGACATCGCGACCCTGTCAAAGTGTTAACGCTCGAGTTCAATCGAGTCCAATTTCCCGTCGCCCCCCCCCCTCCTCTCGAGCGCTCGGACCCGTCGCGTTATACTTTCTCCGCAACAAAAAATAACAAAGCGGCCCCGCCGAACAATCGACCGGTGTCGCGATTCCGCTTCCGTCCGCCGTGCGTCCGAATTGGCGAAAAGACGCGCGCACGCGAGCGCCGGGGAGAGAGATGAGTGTAATATCGGACTGTGCCATTGAGATATATGTAGAGAGAGAGAGAGAGAGAGAGAGAGAAGCAGAGGGAGACGAGGCAGACAACCGTCCTCGGAATATCCGATGTCGATACGGCGATAGCGAGAGCGAGCGCGGCTTAATTCGCTTACACTAACAGCGATACGCTCGGTTTAACGGGCTCCAGCGCAATGAATGCGATCCCGGCCGATCCGGACAATCGGACGCGGATCCTACGGATCCGGATATGACGTTTGCTAGAACGATCGGATTAATTAGTCGCCGACGGGCGAAGTGGCATGCCGGGGCAAAAGGGGCCGAATCCGTCCGGGAGCGTCGTCGTCCCGCAGCGAGGAAAGCCCGTATCGCGCGCGCTTTGATGCTTCGCGCGAAACCCCTCGTGTACTCTTATCTTTGTCTCTCCATATTCCTCCCTCTCTCTCTCCCTCTACCTCTCGCGCAAAGGGCCCGGCAAAAGGCCGACCTGTACGCACCGGCGACGACGAGTGTGCCAGCATGCACGCACGCATGCACGTGCGTGCGATCGGGGGATTTCTCGGACGCATACGTTATCCGAGACCGCTATTTTTGATCGAGATAGCTCCGGGATATACCGTAATAACGGAGCAATCGCAGCGCCGGCGCCGCCGCCACCGTCGCGGTGTCGTTATCTGCGTTATAAATGACTCGCGCAGATAACGACAAAGTTGCGTTTCTCTTCGTCCCCTCGCCGCGGCGGAGGGGAAGAAGGCGAAGAAGGCGCCTCGCTCGCTCGCTCGCTCGCGTCGTCGTCGTCGTCGTCGTGTGGGTGTCTCTCTCTCTCTCTCTCTCTCTCTCTCTCTCTCTTTCCTTCCGTCGGCTGGATTTCCACGTGCCGGCGATAGCGCGTTTAATGCCGCACCGCCGACGTCGTCCCATTCGAAAGCCCGTAACGTCGTGTAAGGAGGGGAAAATCGACGCGTTCTCAAACGAGACGTTTGTTAACGTCAGACGCGCGCGCGAGTTTCCGTGACGCCAATGGTCGCGCGTGGGGTGTATTTTACACCCCATTTATCAATCGCCATTATTTGTCGCAAGGATCGAAAGCGCTGTAATTTGGGCGCATTTAATTCCCCGATACTGCGCGTGCATGAGAAGGAGAACGAACGCGCGTGTGTGTATGTGTGTGTGTGTGTGTGTGTGTGTGTGTGTGTGTGTGTGTGTGTGTGTGCGTGCGTGTGCGTGTGTATGCGCGCACGCACGGCGTTCGCTCGCACGGGCGAATTTTTATCGCACGAGGGAACGTCTCGCGCGTGTTTGTCAAGCATCACGGTCCGCAGCCGCGGACGAAGTTTTAATCTCCGGCTCGTTACACTCGCTGTGTTTCCCCGACAAGTTTCTTATCAGTATCGGGAGAACGCGCGCATAATGTCCCGGTGATTATTCAAACTTTGCTTAATTAACCGAGAAGCGGGGTCTTATTGATAACTCCAACGGCGCGACGTGGCGCAGGGCGCGGCGAAGAGGCCTGCGATGCGGCTGCGAAAGGGAGTAAATTACGCGCGCCGCGCCAGCGGCCACTGTCAGCTTTACCGCCCGACCAAGTTAATCCCGCGTGCAGACGAGTTCCGCGAATCGTCGGCGGGGGAAATGCGTGCGAGACGGAGGAAACGAGCGACGATTCGCGTCGTCCCGGTCGCGCGCGCGCGAATTTGTCCGCTGTCCTTCCGCGACGGAGGAATCGCGGATTACGCGGTTACGCGGCGAACTTTCGGGATGTAATCGGAATACCTGACGGATTGCCCGCCGGCATCGGCGGGAAGGAGAAGACGGAAGGAGAAGGCGAAAGAGAGGGAACGAGAGAGGCAGAGCGAAACGAAGACGCGTCCGTCAGCGCGAATCTGTCGCCGCGGCCGGCGACGAAGAGGGTCGCGCTCTAACCGGCGCGTCGTAAAATCGCATTCGCCGGAATGCCATTAATGCGATTATGTCCAGAGGGGATTCGTTAAATTTGTTAATGCCCTATTACGGGGAACACGCCCGCACGCGTTTTACGGCGAACGGCCAACGACCCGGGCGCGCAGCTACCTCTCGTCATCGTCGTCGCCGCCGCCGCCGCCGCCGCCGCCGCCGCCGCCGTCATTATTCCTCAAGCCCGACCCGATCTTCTCATCCGCTGATTCAACGCTCGCACGAGAGAAGAGGATTTCTCCTCATCTCACCCCCGACAACGCGTCTCACCATGGGCGACGTATGCGTCGCCCACGTCCGCGCTGACTCTTTTTTTTTTTCTCTCGCGACTCACTCGGCTCGACTTCCCTCCTACTCGGCGAGCCTCGAAGCAACGCCCTTTCGTCGCCGTTGCGTTTCATAACGCCGCGCGAGGAGACGAGATATCCGTGTCTCGCGAAATCCGACGGTCCGAGAGAGACGCGCCCGCGATGTCGGCCCGACGATGTATTGCGCCGCAGCGATCTCGTTTCGCAATCTCCGCGCGTTTCGCAGCGCGAGTGCATACATATACATGCATACATGCGCACGTATATATACTTTATGCTAATGCGTGTAATGGGCAAAGTTTCTGATATCGTGAAAAATCGTCCGAGACCACCCCGGCGGGCTGCGCTCGCTCGAGCGTGCGTTTCCGCGGGGGAATAAATTAACGACGGGTGCGAGTCGTATCTCCTCCTTTCTTCCTCCCTTTCTTCGCTATCGCGCTTCGTGGCGACTCGACGCGTCTCGGCGATCATCAATTTGATCTCGTCCGATCTGTGTGCCTGTGCGCGTCTCGATTTAATCCTCATTAATATAATGAATTCATCGAGAGCTCACGCGCGCCGCGTAATCATTATAATTGATCTGTAAGGCCACGCTTGCCGTCGCAGATACGCGAGTTCGCGCAAACACGTTGTTTGCCGCGAAAGCGACCGCGGTTCGAACCGTGACCAAATCGCCTTATCTCTCTCTCGTCTCGCGAACGACGCTGCTTTTCTTGCGCGTTTGCTCATCGTGACGCTCGAACGCGCATCCATCTCTGTCTCTTTTTCTCTCTCTCTCTCTCTCTTTTCATCTTCCACTGTCTCTTGAGAAAGAGAGAGAGAGAGAGAGAGAGAGAGAAAGAGAGAGAGGAAAAGAAAGAGAACGATTCATGCGAAGCGTCTACGCGCTTATTCGACAGCCATGGGCTGCAGCAATCGTTTCGACAGCGAACACACACACACACCCACACACACATGTACATGTGCACGCATACAGACACAGGCACGCACACAGAAGCGCATACACGGCCGGTCGGAGCGGTTGCAAGGATGGATCTATACCGGATACCGTCTATCGGGTGCAATGAACGTGCAAAGCGGCCGGGGAGCATAGCGGGAAGACACGCGATTCCAGACACGGAAGCGTCTGGAGAGAATGGCCCGGGATACGTGCGTATCGCACTCGACAATGACGACGACGATGGGTGGCAGGTCGGAAGCAGCACTGGAGCGGCTGGAGTCGCGGCGGCAGGAAAATCCTGCTGCGTACGTGACGCGAAAGGGGTTGACAAATCGAGATAACGTGAGAAAGAGAGAGAGAGAGAGAGAGAATGAGAGAGAGAGTGAGAGAGTGAGAGAGAGAGAGAGAGAGAGAGAGAGAGAGAGAGAGAACGAAGGGACGAACGAGTCAGGGTGGTGGACGAAAGGACGGTCGCGTCACGACGCGCCTTGTCATATCGAGGCGACTCACCCACGATGTGAACCCACAGCAGGATTTTCAGTTCCATGGATGCTCCTGTCGTTGCTCGACGGACGGGAGTCTGACTGAGGCTGCCTGCGATCCACTCTCGTTGTTCGTCCTTGCGACGGACGCGTCTCTTCGCATGTCGGAGAGGCACCTCTCCGTGCGCTCCGTGTCTCTCCTGCGGCTCTTCAGTAGCAACGGCGCCGACAACGACGACGACGACGACGACGACGACGACGACAGCAGCAGCAGCAGCCAATTACACGAAGCGCGTGTGTCGTAGCGCAGGGGAACGACGACAGTGACGGCGACGGCGACGGTGACGGTGACACAACGGCAACGACGATGATGATTGCAACATCCCCCTTACATAATACACGCTGATAAATCGGGGTCGCCGACGGCGGCGGACAGCGAACGGCGGACAGCGGACGCGGCGGGCAACGTAGTGCGTGCGGCTACGCGGACCTCACGACTCGACTCGCGAATATTAGCCGCTAGAGTATGCGCGGCCCACCGAGCCCGGCTCCTCTCTGCTGGTGGTGCACGGCTCCGCTGGTGTACCCCCGTCGTTTCGCGCAGAATCAATTTCCTCGCGAGAACGACGACGACGACGACGGCGACGGCGATGACGACGACGACGACGACGACGACGACGACGACGGCGGCGGCGGCGGCGGCGGCGGCGGCGGCGGCGACGACGATGGAGCCGCGAGTGCGCGAGCGCAACCGCACGAGGCCGCGCTTGCGCCACCCTCGTTGCGCCGAAGCTGTCTTACACTGTCGGATGTGTGTACACGGGCGCGCACATTCGAGGCAACGTGCATCCGTGTGTGTACACACACACACACACATAGTTAACTAGCAACGCACACATAAACGCCCGCGCGACCGACACGCACCCCCGACGGCGCCGTGCGCGCCGCGGGGGGTGAATGTGCGTACGTACGAGTAAAATCTGGTCCACCGATAGATTCCGAACAACCCCGAGCCGCCCCCGATAAGCGAGCGGAGGCCGCTCCGCGCGCCCCGCCGCGTCCCGCTCCCGCTCCCGCTCCCGCTCCCGTCGATCCCCCTTCCGGCTGTGTGCATGCACTCTCGCAGGATGAACGCACTCTTGCTACGTGGCGGGCGGCGGTCTTGTCGCGATGTATCCCCGTCTCGTTTCCGAGCGAAATCCCTCTCTTTCTGCCGCTATCGATATTCTATCAAACTACCTATCTGGCGATCCGTTTGTCTATTTGCAGGTCCGCCTGTTCTGTATCACTGCGCTTTGCTTGCCCGTCTATTCGCGATCAGATACAATGCCCGGCCCCGGCTTTTGTTTAAAGTATCCGTTTCCGCCTGTTCCGCCGAGCGCTCGCGCGGCCTGCGATAGTTAATCGCGATTAATTGGCGTTCTCCTCTCTCTCTCTCTCTCTCTCTCTCTCTCTCTCCCTCTCTCTCTCTCTCTTGTTTTCGTGTCGCCTCTGTCGTTTCTTTCTTTTTCCGTCTTCCTTTCTTCTCTTCAGAGGTCGATACTACGCGGCCGATTCTTCCTTCGTACGTGCGCGAATGAGAGAGATCGCGTCTCCGATCTCTGCCCCTCCCCCTCCCCCCCTCTCTCTCTCTGTCTCTCTCTCTCGCGACGGCGAAATAAAGAGAAATAAGTCTCGGCCGCGCGAAATGTTCGGTCCAATCAAGCCGGCACATTCGTTCTCATCTCTCCGTCCGCTCCTCCATTGTCTCCAGAGCGGCAAATTTCGCGGTTAACATAACGCCGCGGATACAATGGACAGTCGACGGAGTCGACGTCCGACCTGTACTCCGCCCGAGGGAGGTTACCTGAGCGGAGAACTGGGGCTGGGGGCAGGGAGTATTGTTCGCGGCTTTTATTTCCCGGAAATACGCGCGAGCATAACTTACATGAAGTGAGTATCATGTACAGGGGCACGATATCCTCGATTATTTATCGCCCTTGCCCGCCAAGGCTCGGTGTAATACAAGAAAGTAGGATGAACAGCGGCGGGCTCATATTGTAGCGCGCGCGTGATTGCGTGGATTGCGTAGAGCTTGCGTAAAGTGCGTGAACCGCGTAGAACGCGTTCTACGCGGCCGAAGAACGACTCGCTCGCCGGCCAGTGGAAGACCTAACTACTCGCCCTGCCTCCCCCCACCCCCCCTCGCCGCCGCCGCACGGCGCCTCGGCGGACTCGCGATGTCGACTCCGGGGTTGCTTTCGATTCTCCGCCGCGGCCGCCGGCTTTCGTATAATATCCATCCGCGGGATTATGAATTTTAATTAAACCAAATTCGCCCGCCGCCCGCCGCCGCGGCGAGAGCGGCCTCCTGTCGTCGTCGTCGGTTCGTTCGTTCGTTCGTTCGTTCGTTCGTTCGTTCGTTCATTCGCGCGTAGCATTACGGCGAATTAAAACTAACGTGAAATAATCTTGAGAGTCGCCGTCATTACGGGCCGGTGCATTTTTATCGGTTTTATCCGCATCCGGCGCGCGGTCGTAGTCAGTCGTCGTTCGCCGCGCCCGATGAACTCGACCGTAATTACTCGTCACTCGCTCGCTACGCTCCCAATTTAGATCCTGACTCTTCGTCGGGAATAGAAATAACTTTAATTATTATTGCACCTACGTACTTTCCTCTTTCTCTCTCCCTCTCTCCCTCTCTCTCTCTCTCTCCCTCTCTCCCTCTCCCTCTCTCTCTCTCTCTCTCTCTCTCTCTCTCTCTCTCTCTCTCACTCTTCTTCTCTTTCGTACGTGTACGTGTGTCCATTAAACAGCAACGGCGCTGGAGCGTTTGTGCGTCGTCCGACACGGCGAGTATCGCCGCGCGCGGGACGACACATTTACGTCGGGAATTTAAATTCGTACCGGACACTTCGCGTATATACCATTTCCGAATAAACGAATTACAGGCCCGCGCGTGTCTCCTGATCGAATTAGCCGCGCCCGATGCGCGAAGCTAGAATCTGCCGCAATAAATGCGCCGCGTCGCAAGTAAATCACCGACGCGCGCCGCGCGAACGCGCGAGAGCGACAGCGGACACACGCTTGCGCGCGCTCGCCCGCCTTTCACGTTCTGCGCCAGCAAATGATCCTTCCGGAGGTCCTGTTTACGCTGCAATAAACCTGAAAGATGCCTCCCGAGACACGCGGCAGAAGATCGATCATTGCGTTTCAGCTCGCCGCTCGAGGTCGCCTCTCGCAGGTCGAGATGCATCTGGTTGTACGTGACGGAGCCGGGCGTGAAAGAAATTTGCGACGGAAGAGGAAGAACCGGGGGGAAGAGAGAGAGAGAGAGAGAGAGGGGGGACAAAAGCCGGGGAGACGAATTAATCGCGAGGAGAAGTTTGCGAACTTCCGCGAGCGCGCGCGCGCGCTCGTCAATTTCTCCTTTCATCCCGCGCGCTCTTCGCGCTTTTGCATTCGTCGGAGCCCGCGGCATCTTTCCGCTATATATCTATAATATAATATAAGCTATATATATATACAAGTACTATAAAATTCTCCAGATCGGACAAAGGCAGTCGCATCCCGGCGCGGAGGAGGGAGACAAGGGCAAAGGGAACAACGACGAGGCAATCTGCCTCCGAATTTATAGAGAAAACACGATCGCGCCGATGAATAGCGGCTAATTAATAACCCATTGACGCGCGCGTTTGTTTAACATCTTAATTACGAGCTATTCGGCTGGAACGGCTGACGGAATTATCGCTCGCTGATGATCGCAGCGGAACGTAAATTCATCGCCAAGCTGCCTGCCTGCCTCCGCTCCGCTCCGCTCGGCATGCCATCCGCCGCTCTGTCGGTCCCGATGATTCTTTTTCAGGGAAAAGGAGAAAGAAAAAGAAGAAAGAAAGAGAGAGAGAGAGAGAGAGAGAGAGAGAGAGAGAGGATCGCTATCGCGTCTACTTGTTGACGATGACGCTCGACGATTGATCGTATCGGAGCGCAATATCGCTCTAGCCCGAAGCGCCTCCGATATAAAGAGCAACAGAGGATACGTGATCAGCGTGTGCCGCCATCATCTCGCGCGAATAATCCCAATTATCCGAGAATCGTGATCGAACGAGTGTGTTAACGAACGCGAGCGAGCGTGTGCGAGCATTGTACACGGATAGAAAAATATAGTTGAATTAACTATAATCTCACTATATTTTATAGTCCATTTTGGCGTCAATCATATTTTTATAGTTCGTGGAAACCTGCAAAATATAGTAGAATAAACACAAATATATAGTCAATGATTGTCTTAAATAATTGCTTACTTTCACCACATATAATGGTAATTTCTCACTCACAAATGTAGTGAGATTTAATATTCATATAGTTACATCTGTCATCATTCGGCAAATATTCTGGTAATATTGACTATATATAAAAGAGTTACTTTTACCTACCATTTCATATTTCTATCCGTACAATAATTTTAGTTTAACTTACTATAATTCTTAGTAAAAATATTATACGGTTGGTTATACTGTGCCTATATCGTAATTATTACCGATATTATGGCAATACTTACTATAAATATGATATTTTGGACTATAATTTAGTCACTATATCATTATAGTTCCGAAATATCATATACTTTTCTCTCAGTATACATAAATAGTATATATAAATGTATATATAAACAGACGTTCGTTTGTACGTCCGCGCGTTTTATTCGTACCGACCGCGGCCGCGGGAGGAGCGTCTCGAAATTGTTGCCATTATATAATTAGCGCCCATCCGGGGCAGATTCATTAATATGCAATGAGAAACCGTCGTTCGCGGCTGCTCCGATGGGCGTCGCCGACGACGGAAGATCCGCGGAGAACCGCGTCGTCGCGCCGTCTTCGTCATAGGCGATCCTGGCCGCCGCTCGGATTGAACTACGCGACGCAGTCGAGACGAGTAAGGAGCCGCATTAAAGGATATTTATAAAGAGCGTGGCTCGATTTGATAGTCGATATCTCTTCGGTTCCAGGAGTCCCGCGGAGAGACTTTCAGGAGCCTTCGTCGCGCGTCTGACTGTCGCGGCAGTCGTTCTCCTCGTTGGCGAGGGTTGATTAGCAAAGCGACATCTCAGCAGTCGAAATATAAATAGATTATAAATATGTTTTAATGTACGTCTCGACACACACCAGCGGGGATAATTAGCAATTCTTCCGCTGCGTCGGCTTTGTAATTTTGAGCTTGGAGCGCTTTATTTATGTTCTTCCTGATATCACCGCACTGATAGAAAAATATAGTTGAATTAACTATAATCTCACTATATTTTATAGTTCATTTTGGCGTCAATGATATTTTTATAGTTCGTGGAACCTGCAAAATATAGTAGAATAAACACAAATATATAGTCAATGATTGTCTTAAATAATTGTTTAGTTACTTTTACCACACATATGGTAATTTCTCATTCACAAGTATAGTGAGATTTAATATTCATATAGTTACATCTGTCATCATTTAGCAAATATTCTGATAATATTGACTATATGAAAGAGTTACTTTACCTACCATTTTATATTTGTATCCGTACAATAATTTTAGTTTAACTTACTATAATTCTTAGTAAACATATTATATGGTTGGTTATACTATGGCTATGTCGTAATTATTACCGATATTATGGTAATACTTACTATAAATAT